TAACGATGCCCAACTAGTCTTCCCAACATTTGATCAGAATGGTTGAGGAAAATGATCTTTTCTAGTGGCAGCATTAAATTTTCTATAATAAATATAGATTTGCCATTCATTGACTTGCTTGTAGGAATTAATTCATTCTTTTCATTTACAACTATATTTGCTCCCCTTTTCTTAAAAATATAGTGAACATAACTAATTGATGAACTATCTGTAATTGGATAAATAATTCCACCATGCAACTACTTTAAAATTTTTTTCTTAACAACAACTTTCATTATAGGATTTAATCTTCTTTGAGGATCAAATCTAGGCATATAACTATCTTCCATTAAAATTATGTGCAAACAGATTGAAGGACTGATTCCTTTAATATCAGTTATTGTCCATCAAAGGGCTTTCTTATGATTTTTTAACATCCCTAATAATTTTCCTTCTTATTCTGCAGTTAGGTCTGAGGATATAATTACAAGTAATGTAGATGAGTTCCACAAAAAACATACTTTAAATGAGTAGGTAGAACCTTCATCTCAAGTTCAGGAGGTTTCTTGATATATGGTATCAGAAGTTTACTATTTTCAGTAATATCTAAGATTTCAAATTGTTCCTGAACATAATTTAATTCCTTGGTATCTTTCTCATTTTATTCATCTTCGTAATCTCTTTAATTTTCTAATTCTTTTTGGTTTGAAGCTACTTCATCTTTTTGATCTGATATGACTTCACATCTTTCTTAAAAATTATTAACAATCATATAATCAATTATATCCATTATGTAACATTTACTTTCTTTTCTTTTCACAGAATACTTCATTGATTTGAGTACATTAAATGTTGCTTCCTTATCATCAACTCTCATGGTTAATTCACCTTTTTGCACATCTATCATTGCACGTTTAATAATTAGGAATTGTCTCCCTAGAATAATAGGAATTTCTTTATCTTCTTCCATATCCAACACAATGAAATCAACAGGGAAGATAAATTTATCCACTTTAACCATCACAGCTTTTATAACCTCTTTAAGTATGTAATAGATTGATCAGCTAAATGTAGGGTTACAGTAGTGGGAGAAATGTCTCCTAAACCTAATCTTCTAAATATTTATAATGACATGAGATTAATGCTCACTCTTAAATCACATAAAACCTTTCCAAAAAAAATTTCTCCAATTACACAAGGTATGATAAAAATACAAGTTTCTTTGAGCTTTTGAGGAAGCTTTTTTTGAATTATTGCACTGCACTCTTCGCTCAGTGCAACAGCCTCATAATCTTCAAACTTCCTTTTTTTATTTAAAATTTCTTTCCTAAACTTAGCATAACTTGAAATTTGTTCCAAAGCTTTTGCAAAAGAAATATTAATTGAAAGCTTTTAAATAACTCATAAAATCTTGAAAATTGTTGATCAAGTATTTGTTGTCCATGTCTTTGAGGAAAATGGGGTGGTGGTCTTTCTAAATTATTCTTAGTTGGAGAAATAGTTGTTTATATTTTCTTATGAATAATTTCTTCAGGTTTTTCAATTTCTTCATCTTCTCTCTCAACTTCAATTTCTTTTTGAACACCATGAATCAATTCTTTTCCACTTCTTAGCTAGATAGATTTAACTTGTTCATGTTCTTTACTTTTATATTTAGGATTGATCTCAACATTACTAGAAAGTGTTCCCTGAGATCTATTACTAAGGGTATTAGCAATTTTTCTAGTTGATTCTTTATATTTTGAATATCAACACTTTGATTTTGTAATTGATTGTCCATTTGTATCACCACTTCTTCTATAGACAGCTTCTTCACCTTAACTGGTTTGTTACTATTAAATCCAAAAGGTTAAGTAGATCTAAAGTTAGAATTACCCTGATGGTTCTAGTTTCCCAAAGTGTTTACTTGATTGTTTCCCCATTATTGACTTCCGCCACCAGAATTATTATACTAGTTAAATTTTAAAAGGATTTTCTAACCCAGGTTATGATATTTTGAATATGGGTTATTGGGTCTATTAATAACATTTATAGGTTTCATAGAAGTTTGAGAATCAATAATTTCTGATAATGAATTTTCTTCATTCAAATGAGGTGTTTGAGAAAAATTCATTCCAATTTCGTCTTTTTTTCTAGATAATGCAGCAACTTTAGAAGCAACCATTGAAATATCGTCATTATCAGGAATATTGGCCACTTTCATAGGATTTACCCTTTTAGAAGGCCATAGAAAATTATTTGTAGCCATTTCTTCAATTAAAGCATAGGTTTCATCAAATGGTTTAGACATTAATGAACCATCAGCAGCAGCATCTATGATAGATCTAATAAATCCTACTTACCCATTATAAAAAGTTTGAATGATTCACCAGTCTGGTAACACATGATGTGGACACCTTCTAAGGAGTTACTTAAATCTTTTCCAAGCTTTATAAATTGACTCCCTTTCATACTAAGTAATAGATGTAATGTTATTTCTAAGATTAACGGTCTTTGAAGGTGGAAAATATATAGTTAGGAATTTTTATGTCAAATCTCCCCAAGTTCTAATAGATCCCGATTCTAACAAAATTAACCAAACCTTAGTATTGTATTTAAATGAAAAAGGGAAACGTCTAAGTCTAACATCATCATTTGATATGTCATCATATTTAAGTGTAACACATAGTTCTTAAAAAACTTGCCACATGTAAATTTGTATCTTCAGATGGTGTTCTCCCAAACTGATTGTTTTGTATCATTTGCATAATTCCGGGTTTAAGTTCAAATGAGTTAGCTGCTATAACATGAGTTTGAATACTTAAGTGAATCTCTTCTTTCGTAGGATTTGCATAATTCTTTAAAGGTTTCTGTAAATTATGATATTAATTTTCATCATTTTGAATCCCGATAGTGTTTTGTGAAGTGTTTGCCATATTTTGAAAATTTTGAAGTCTTTCTTGTTTTCAAAATTTTCTTATAGTATATTCTAATTCAGAATCATAGGGTACCAAACCTTCATATCCCGAACTGCACATACAAATGATAAAATATTAGAAAATAAAATAACACAACATAAATCAAATAAAATTTTATTTTTTGGATTTTTTCATATTTTTTTGGATTTTTGTTTTTTTTAATTTAAATTTTACTAAAAAAGCCTAAAATTCAAATAAAATTACAGTTGAAAAAAAATTCGTTACCTTCTCAATTTAAATAGTTTCGTTACCGTCCTCGATAAAAACACCAAAAAGTTGACCCGACCTGCAATTACGTGTATTTTTAATCTCCAAGATATTGCAAAAAACTTGTCCCAATTTATATTTAGAGGCTAGTGTGAATAAACGAAATGATATATAAAATAAATAATAAAACTTCGCACTAGAGGTACTACGCAAGTATACATATCATTTCAATTAATATATGTTTTTTTTTTTAAATCTCAGTATCGATCTAACGAGGACAGTTGAATTCTTTAAAATGGAATAACAAAATTCTATCCAAATTGCAGGTAAAATGGAAGTAGAACAAAGTCAACATTATTGCAAAGGTTAAGATTAAATTAAAGCAGAAAGAAACAAATATAATTAATAGTTAAACAAAGTAAATTTAATGTGTTTGAATGTTATAAAAGATCTTTCCTCTTTCAAAGAGGTATTAATCTATATAGGATTTGAATAACTAAAAATAAGATGATGTATTGTGAAAAATATGAGCATTCATATTATTTACCCTCTCCCAATGCTAACGAAGAACATTAGCCAATTTAGAGTTTTTCACCAACTTGTGTAGTAGTGCTGAGTAGATTTTGGTCTCTCGCCCTAGATTACCCACTGTGCCCTCTCTATAGAAACTACTAGGGACCCTTATGATCCAAACTTTAATCCAAATTGATAAAAATGATCTAGTTTTTCACCCTAGAAACTTCACTTCTATGCTCATCAAAATTTATCTCCCTATCTATTTCCTCTCCCTCTTAGGTGATCGCATCAGCTCTGCTCTGAATGAATGGTGACACTCACTAGTTGAGCGAAATCATATCCCTACTGGGTCTTTATGTTTTTCAACAGATTTTAACCTCACGAGTGACCAATTTATAAAGTTAATTAAGAAACGGTAAAAATGTCATCACAATTTTTTAAAGTAAGAAAAAAAATCTTTAAATTATTCTCAACCCACAAGATTAATTTGCAAATGTAAGAAGAAAGAAAGGGAACTACACAAAAATCATGGAGAACAAACAAAAACACTGAAGAAGTATTGAAATCCAAGTCTTGGAAACAAAAACTTAAACACAACTACAAAATACCTAGTGTCTTCTCTCTAATACAAAATCTAGACTCTCCTTAATGATTTTTCCAAATTTTAAATCTTACAAACACAAAAACACACTTAAACTTACACTTAAACAAAAAAGTAGAACTACATAAAGCATTCAATTGCCCAAAAGTTTTCTTGTTCGTCCCATTTTTGTCCCTTTAATAGATCTCTGAAAATGACCAAAGGTTGCTTTAAACACCCCTTCAAAATTTGGCAAAATTAATTGAATCTTCTAGAAGGGTAGTTACTGGCACATAACGCTAGTCTGGGTGCTATATCTCTCATTACGCCCGTCTTTGGCGCTATAGCGCTAGGGTGCGGCGCTGTGGCGCCATATAAAATGCTCCAATTTTGCTCATTTTTCTCTTATTTTCTCTAAATGTCCATTTTATATAGCTGAAACAAAAAACATGCAAAATATCTTTCTTTAAAGTGCAATATAACTAAAAACAAGTATAAAATGATCATAAAATAAGCACTAAAAACGGGTAATTTTAAGGTGGATCAAAGAGTCCTTATGTAGGACAAAGGAGGAATAATGTATGAAGACTAGGGACGAAGAAAAGTCATGTTTACTCAACAAACACACAATAAACACCCATGTAACCATTATGTTATTTCGTTTCGCCAATGCTGAATGAAGGATGTGATGCAAAAAAATTGAAAGCTTCCTAAGCCGATTAATTCAGTATATTGTCAAGGCTTTAATCTTTAATTGTAAGAAAGACTTTAATACTCATATACCCCTTGTTCAAAAGATAGACAACATATGTAATTATTTATTTCAAGTATCTCCTATGTCTATAAATAGAGGATCCTTTAATGAATGAAGAGTTACATACTCTCCCTCTCATTCTTCTTCCTATGCTATATTCTTTGGGCATGATTTAATGAACAATTTAAGATTCAACAATCCTAGATAGAATTAATGCCTTCATGAACTTTCCAAAAGTTGAAAAATTGAAGTTTAATCATAGCAATAATTTTATTTGTGTCTTTCAGATGCCACCAGTTAATTATGTGACAATGTTTCATTGCACTTTTTTATCTTACAACACTTCATCTTAAAATTTAGAACTAATAATCGATGTCGAGTAATAAAATATTCACTTGGAATTACCTTACAGCCTTTACATTCTTGATGATCTCTTTTTTTCATTAGAAAATAATCAATTTGTGTTCTATTTGATCCACTCTTATAAATATTAAAATGCTCATCTCTTTTCTTGAAGAAAATATTAGTATCAACAAAATCATAAGCTTAAGCAAAATCTAATATCATAATACCTTCTTCATTAATAAATCTAAAACCATTGTCACCATGAATATTTCTAAAATCTTCTATAATTATACAGACATACCCATTTAAAGCTCCCCAAAAGTTAGTTTAAATCTAATATTAGTTTCATTGACTAACTTCTTCGCATACATCCATCAATAATATGCAAACATTTGCATATTTGACACTACATCTGGGCAATGGTGTAGCGACACTTGTAGACTTTTTATAGTTTTCAGGTCACAAATCACATTTCTTCCTGGGAACGCTGTAGCTTTTACATAATTATTTAAGCGATTCATGTCATGATTTTTTAAACAAAAATTTTTTGCTCGTTGTTAAGAAAATTCTTGAGAGGCGAATGCCCATCCGTGACACCTCCCTTGATTCCACCACTGCACTTAGACGATGTTTTATTGTTGTTCCAGCATTGAATTATATCCTCAATTGTAAATCTTTTGAAATCTTTTTGAATAAACTCAACCCCTTATTCTGAAGCCATTCCATTCATTATTTGTGAAGTATTTTTTGATCGAGATATATGTGCATTGTATAATAAATATGTAAGGATATAAAGCATAAAATAAACTTTTATAAGGATGTACCAATGCAACATAAATGAACATCTACATATATGTCTGCAAAGATATAAGCATATCGACCAGCATAAAATATATGACAGCACGGTCCCAGGCACAGTTCAGTATGCCCCTTATTTCAACTTCACTATGACTTCAAAACATACCCAAATAATATATTTATTTTCCAAGTTAACAAAGATGAAATGAAATAAATGGAATAAAATTTCTTAATATTATAAGGATTAAGAACTCATAAACATTCCTCCTATACCCAGCCAAAATTATTTCATCTAAGCTAGGATTGTTAAGTATACTTTACCAAAATTATATTAATTACATTACTAATTTTAGAAGGAACTAAAAAGGAATTAGAGAAGAGCTGGCACATTGTTCTTATAAAAGCCAGTCGCTTCTCTCTGTTTTTGAAGTGCCGAGGAGAAGAAAAGAGGAGGTGCTATTTCGGGAGAGAAATTAAGCAATGAATCTGTTTTTGATTTGTCTTTCTTTCATCTTTCTCTCGGCTGTTAGGCCCATTGGCGCTGACCACGGAGGATGGGATACAGGGCATGCCACCTTTTATGGTGCCATGGACGGCGGAGAAACCATGGGTTAGCCTTTCTAGTACATAGCAGCCTTTCTCTAATATACAAATTACGTTCATTAGTTCGAAAGTCATAAGAATATTATTGTTTATTGTGTTGATATTGTTTGCTATGTTCATTTCAGCCAAAAGCTCTCGAGTTATAATGAATGTTATACTCTCGTTTCCTGTTTTCTTAATTGAATTTTTTATCGTGACAGTAAATAAAAAATTTATCATAATAATAAAATTATGCTCAAAATTTTTTATGGAATTTTCCGTCATGAATTTGCAGCTATAATTGATTTGTGCTATTAAGGGCCAATGGCCGGCTTAGAAAATACTTTTCTTCAACCTGGCCTCATAATATTTTAGTAAACTACAAAAATCTTTTATGTATATATATATATATACATATATATTTTGAACTTCGGCATATAGCACCTAGAGATACATGCCATTCTTTAAGAAAATTTGAACAATAATGCAAAGCATAAGTATGATTGATTGATGCGTTCAAGGATTTTTTTTTAATTTTTTGAAAGTATAAACTCGAAGCAAAAATTTAGATAATCTATAAAATATTCGACATGTGGAACATAGTAATAATTTCTCCTACGAAATGGACATTTTTCTAATATAAACAAGTTAAAACCAGTCTACAAAAGAGAGCATAAAATCATGCATCCGCCAAAACTTTACCTAAAATTCAAAAAAAAAATAATAATGTGCCGCACGTTTACGGAAACTTCTATTTTTTATGCCCACAAAAGGCAGTACTTATACTTGTAGAATTGGTTCAGGTTGATGGATCCAAATTCCAGATCTAACATATCCATATGTACGTGGCTTTATTGTTTGCCATGCAGGTGGAGCTTGTGGATATGGCAACTTATTTGAGCAAGGCTATGGCCTTGAAACCGCCGCTCTGAGCACTGCCCTTTTTAACAGCGGCCTCAGCTGCGGCGCCTGCTTCCAAATACTATGCTTCAACGACAAACAATGGTGCGCTCCCGGCTACATCACCATAACCGCCACCAACTTCTGCCCTCCCAACTACGCAAAACCCAACGACAATGGCGGTTGGTGCAACCCTCCCTTAAAACACTTCGATCTCTCCATGCCAATGTTCGTTAGGATCACAAAGGACTATCATGCCGGCATCGTCCCTGTCCTGTTCCGCCGCGTCCCTTGCCATAAAAAAGGTGGGATCAGGTTCCAGATGCAAGGGAACCAGTGGACGCCATTTGTTATTATCCTCAACGTCGGCGGCGCTGGGGATGTTAGGGAGGTTTGGGTGAAAGGGGGAGGTGGGTGGTCGGCAATGACCAGAAATTGGGGACAAGTTTGGCAGACCTCGGAGAAGTTAGTAGGACAGACTGTTTCGTTTTCGGTGACCACGAGCGACGGGCGGACCGTGCAGTCGTTAAACGTGGTGCCGCCCAACTGGCAGTTTGGTCAGACTTTTGAGGGTAGCCAGTTTTAGTTTAAACAACCCTAATGAATATCATTGAGATATATATATATATGG